GCAGAGGGCATTTATAAAGATCTAAATACAGGCATATACAGATGTAAATATATTTGTATATGACGATGAAATAGATCTATGTACATGTATTTATAGGTTTAGTATTAAGGAAGCAGAAGTATTAAGGAAGCCGATGGACATTGGGCCTCTACTCAAGTAATCCCTCAACACAAGAACATTTTGTTCTAATAATCCAACATTCTGAGATGCTCACCTTCCCAACATGATTGCTGAAGATAAATGTATGCATAAGCAAATGCGGTGAAGAAAGCTGATGGTGCCCCACTATCAAAAGTTATAGCATCTGGGTCTTAAGGGCTTGAAGGTAAACAAGTGACCACCTAGCTGAGAAGCAACAAAGCCCACTGGAAGAAGCACACCAGCCTGTGTGATCATGTCTACGGGATCAGATATCAGGCCTCCAAGACCCAGAACAAAAAAATCATGTTAATGTGAAAGGTGGGGGGTGGGGGAGACCTAAAGCCTATCTGTAGACAATTGGACATCGCCTCGCAGAAGGGTCATAAGGAAGAGATGAGCCCGTCAGGGTGCAGTATAGCACCGATGAAACATACAAGTTTCCTCTAGTTCTTTAATGCTCCCCCCCACCCCGACTATCATGACTCCCATTCTACCTTACAAATCTAGCTAGACCAGAGGATGTACACTGGTACAGATAAGAGTTGGAAACACAGGGCATCCAGAACAGATAAACCCCTCAGGACCAATATTGACAGTAGCCATACCAGGAGGGGAAGGGGAAAGTGGCAGGAGAAAGGGGGAACTGATCACAATGACCTACCTATAACCTCCTCCCAGGGCAATGGACAACAGATAAGGAGGTAAAGGGAGACACTCGACAGTGCAAGACATGGAAAAATAATAATTTATAAATTATCAAGGCTTCATGAGAGGGAGTGAGAGGGAGGGGGAATAATGAGAAGCTGATACCAAGGGCTCAAGTAGTAAGAAAAGGTTTTGAAGATGATTATGGCAATAAATGTACAAATGTGCTTGACACAATGGATGTAGGTATGGATTGTGATAAGAGTTGTATGAGCTCCCAATAAAATGATTGAAAATTTAAAACAAACAAAAAGAAACAAACACTGGAACAGTAGTTTCACTCTGTGCCTTTTTTGGGTGATAGTGAAAATCCTCTCTGGATTTCTTGTGGTTAATGAAAACAAGTTCTAGTGGCATAAAGCAAACTTAGGAAGAGCAGAGGACTACATTTCCTCTAGGTATTTCATTCCTCACTGTGCCTGTCGTAGGATTGTTAGATTCTTGAGTCATAGGTATGGTGTCTTACTGTCTTATTTTCCCTACAGCATCTAGAACAAGGCGAGGCCCACAGTAGTGGATTGATTAATGCTTGTGAAACCAAATTGAACGAAATTAACTGACCTAAAAGAATCCACCCCATGGCTCTTGTCATATTGTCCCCCTAGTTTTACCAGCTAAGTTAACATAGCTCAGTATCCTATACAAAAACAAAAAGGCTTCCCAGAAAATATTTGTGCCAATAAGCTGGTAGGAAAGAGGTTTATTAGTATAATTAATTGAACAGGACTCTTTAGTCTGTCTTTTTGCTCTTTCTGGATCTCTTTCCCATACTTTGAATTTTTAAAAGATCGTCCTTCTCTCTCTCTCTCTCTCTCTCTCTCTCTCTCTCTCTCTCTCTCTCTCTCTCTCTCACACACACACACACACACACCTGCTTTTCCCCTTTGATTTTCTCCACCATGAAGCTGATACTAAAAACCAGGAGGATTAAATGAGATGATGCATTTGAACCATTAGTCCATTGTTTCAGTGGTTGGCAGGGAGAACTTCTCCATCCATCCATGATAATTATTGACGTATAAGACTTCTTTATATTATTATAAATGCTTTTCTGTTGGTGTACATGAAACTTGGGAAACTGACTTTTGAGAACTCAAAACAAGATCTGTCTTAACCTACAAAGGTATTTTTCTTTTTGAATCTCTGTGTTAGTTTTATCTCCTTTATCTTTGGCCTTCCGCTTAACCTTGGAATCCGTTCAATCATTTTCAAGATTTAACTTTTGCTGTACAAGTGTCTAATGACCTTGTAAATGCCAGCATGGTTTTACGGTCAATGAGCAAAGCCTGGCACAAGAGCCCAGAATTACCTAGAGCTGTGATTTTGCCTCCCTCGGGGTGAGTCTTTGCGCTGTGGCTGTCACAGAGGAGCAGGACTGGCCAGAGTTTGTAGCATTCACTTCCTCAGAGCACACGTTGCCTCATGGAATGAAACCCTCTGTGGAAAACACATGGAAACCTGGCCAGTCCAGGGAAACAGAAGTGACGAGACTTTGATGTACCTCTTCCCTTTGTATGGACAAGAAAAGCCCTGGGCTAGCTAAGAGCATTCTCTCTTGCAGCCATCTACTGAAAGTCCATTAGGCCTGGGGCAGGTAGAAAAATACCTGGAACCCAAGGAAATGAAAGCGTGACATCCCTGAGCTATCTCTTAGGTCATATTTTAGAGGGAGACAGGCTCTGGCACAAAGAAGTAAAAACAAGAGAAGAGTTTATGATCTGGAGTCTGAGGTACCTGAATTTGAATCCCCAATCTGCCTCACATGTGACATTGTCCAAATCATTTCACTTCTCTGACCCTGGTTTCCTCAACAACAAAATAAAAATGGTTGTTATTATTATTGCTAGGTACCCTTGAGTGCGTGGTGACCCATAGTGACCCTATCTATGCCGAACAAAACAAAACACTGTACAGCCCCGTGCCAGCCTCACAATTGTTTCTATGCCTGAGCCCACTGTGTCTATCCATTTTGTTGAAGGCCTCCACTTTACCAAGTATGATGTCCTTTACCAGGGACTGCTCTCTCCTGACAATATGTCAAAGAATGTAAAACAAAGTCGTACTGTCCTTGCCTCCAAGGAGCACTCTGGCCATATTTCTTCCAAGACAGAGCTGTTTGTCCTTTGGGCAGTCCATACTTTCAATGTTCTCCACCAGCACCACAATTCAAATGCATTGACTCTTCCTCAGTCTTCCGTATTCAGTGTCCAACTTTCACATGCATGAAATGGTAATAGTACCTATCTCAAAAGATTAATGTCAAAATTAAGTGAGAGAGGGAATGTAAAGCAGTTAATAAAAACTCTAAACCAAAACTCACTGCCACTGAGTGGATGCGAACTCATGGAGACCCTATAGGGCAGGGTGGAATTGCCCCCATGGCTTTCTGAGACTGTCACTCTTGGCAAAAATAGGAAGTCTCTTCTTTCTCCCAAGGAGTATCTGGTGGTTTAGAATCGCAAACCTTGTAATGAGCAGCCCAGTGCGTAACCACTATGCCATCAGGACTCCTTAAGGAGATAAAAGCCTGGAGTATTTTCTCAAAGTTTATATTATGGATGAGGTAAAGGTTTACAGAGCAAAGAATTGGTTTTTCATTCAGTGATGCAAACATATCTGGTTTCAACACAGGCATTGCAATACCCTCCATGTACCATCACTTACCCTATTTCTTTCCAGAGTTTCCTGTTTCCATTCCTCTTACTTTCCTAACTTTCTGAACATTGACCCTGGGTAAATGTTGCCCGTTGATTTTAAATGGCTCTTTATTTTACAATGGGGTAAGTTAAATTTTAGACATGGAGGGAGGGTGGCTTCAGGGTCATAGTCTTGGTCATCTTGCCAGCCCCACCTATCTGACCAGTAAGCCTGGTTAGTGCCTTTTGTAATTTTACCTTTTAATAGCCTGGACCTCATCACCATCATCGTGGCGTTGTTAATATAAGCAACACCAGAAAAAGACCTACTGAGGCGAATGAAATACAATCTTGTTCTCTTATGCCCCCTTGTAATGCTTCTTAATCTTTGGCACATGTCTATGCATTCCAAGAGCAGGGCAGGTGTTCTAGAAGGTCTTTAAAATCTGAACATTGGAGATACCAAAGCTAGCGTGTGTGTGTGTGTGTGTGTGTGTGTGTGTGTGTGTAGATCTAGATTCAGAGAGATCTAGATCCAGATCTAGACTGTGCCTTGTGGTTCAGGTACACATTGGATCAGTGGTGACTGTAGATAAGGCATCCAAGCAGCTTTTCTTCAGAAGAGACAGGCTGTCATTCTTTGTTTCTCCTTTAATAGGAAAGAACCATTTGCCTTGAAAGATGAAGGAAGCTGCTTAAATTCATCTCCAGAGCTCTCACAAGCAGAGTTTATTCCGGCCTTAATTGTTCTTGACTTAATAAAGGGTTTCCAATATGTGTTTGAACAAGTCTAGTATTGGGAAACAGCATCTTTACCGGATGCAGAAGACCAACCCTTCCTTTTCTCCCTATGTATTCCTTTTGCTTTGTGGTTCGCTTTGTAAGGTACAGAGTCCAATATGTAAAAATACATCAAAGAAAATCAGGGCCACCAGTACTTTGGCCCACCCACCTCCTGCAGCTGCCTCAGAAGGCAGTTCTAAGAAATTGGGATGGGAGGAGAAGGGGCGGTGGGGGACACAGTTTCCACAACACTATACTTAGCCCTCTTGGCTCTGCCTGCATTTTTCAGCCCAGGTCTCTGTTTGGGTCAAAGCACTGGGCATGGCTGCATAAATAAGCTGCTATGTTATAACAAGTGGGTTTCTACTGTAATAATAGAGCACTCAGCTACCACCGTTCTATATTCCTAAGGCCGCCTAAGATGCAGCACTAGGGACCATGGATTGAAACTGTTTGATGGTTTAGGAAACCCAGAAGTCCTTATGTAATGAAGTACCGGAACGAAAGTGTGCTCAGCAAGTATTTTGAGGGGATTTTGAGGAAGCGATGATGCTCTTCAGAAAATTTCGGTTAACAGAAATCATACGGCTTCTCATTTATTCTGCAAGTATGCAAACTCTAAGGCGGTTTTACACAGAGAGCCCTAAGGCATGGTTTAACCTGACACATTTGCTTCCTGCTTTTGCATCAGAGCCTGAGTGACCTGGACTTTGTCTCCTTTTCCCCCTCTTCTAGGCTGCAGATGCACATGTTAAATGGGGCTCTTCTGGCCTTGCTCTTTCCTGTGGTAAATACTCGCCTGGTAAGTAGCCTATTGAAAGAACTCACCAGCAAATATGAAACTGTATCCGTCTGCTCGTTCCTGACTTACTGCCTGCCTCCAACAGCCCACATGCCCATGGGCTAGTTGAAGGAGCTACAGTTTTTAATTCTTAGCTGTGACATAGTCCTATTTGGAGTCAGTCATCAGTAGGACTTGATGGCACAAGGGGACTTTGCCCGAACTTTGGGGCTGCAATAAGGGGGTTTCGATCACAGCCAGGACAGACCGAAAAAGCTTGCAGAAGCTCTTGGAGAGATTTGATGGAGAGAAAGGGGGATTTTAGGCCTGTCCCATTAGATCAGCGATTCTCAACCTATGGGTTGCGACCCCTTTGGGGGTCGAACAACCCTTTCACAGGAGTTGCCAGATTCATAACTGTAGCAAAATGACAGTTATGAAGTAGCTATGAAAATAATGTTATGGTTGGGGGTCTCCACAACATGAGGAACTGTATGAGAGGGTTGCAGCATTAGGAAGACTGAAAACCACTGCATTAGCTACAGATTTCCAGATGTTCCCACAGCCTCTAGTGTGGATTAGCCAACACTGGCCGAGAACAATCTGTGGGAGTTTCAAAGTGTGTCCATTTTGCAAAGGGCTCCCTTAAACCATAATTCAGATTAAGTCACCCGAAACCATGGAAGAATATAGACAGCATAACCCCTCAGTGGCTAGCTAGAAGAAGATTGGGACGCAAGAACAACAAAGCTGGGACCGGCAGAGCTCTGTCCTCCAACTCCTATCTGTGGAACTGTGTTCGCATTAGCGATGAGTCCTTGTAGTTGTAGTGGTTACTCATTGGACTGTGATCCTCATGGTCAGCAGTTTGAAACCACTAGCATCTCTGTAAGGAGAAAGACTGGGCTTTCTATTCCCGAAAACAGTTATAGTCCCCAAACCCACAGGGGGTTGCTGTGGGTCAGCATTGACTTGGCACTGAGCTTGGTTTTGGTCACAGAGAGCTCAAGGAAAGAAGTTGCCTGTAATTTCGTAATGACTGCTCTCTGTTTTCCTGAATGAAATTGCCACACACCTTAGTATCGTAGTCTACATTTCAATTTTTCATATAATATTTTATCATTAACAAAGTACTTTCATATAATAGGATTATGAGCTAGATGGAGCAAGTATTGTGTGTCCATGTTTTCAGACTAAGAACCGGACACCCAGAGAGTGCTGTTCAGAGTCGCCTACGTTTTCAGTGGTATAATTAGGATGAGAGCCTGAGGCTCCTGACTCTAGAACCATAGCTGTACTTTGTTCCTCCTGAGGATTTGGTACCCCATTCCCTCCCTTAAATATATATGTCCATATATTAGTTATTCTTTTTAGATGTATATTATATAAAGATGGAAATTTAAAAAAAAACCATTCATGTTAAGCAGTGATTTTCAAAATGGTTTTAGCCTCACCTAGGTATACTTAAAAACAGAACAAAATATGCTGATAAAACAACACACAAACACCCCTAGTACCCCGGAATCACCTTTGGAGAATCTGAATTCATGATCTGTGATGCAGCCCGGGCATGATGTTTGTTCTGTTTCATAGTTTTATTGACATAAAATTCACATGGCATGTGCATTTTGTTTTTTGGGCGTACCCCAGGAAATTCTAACTTGGAGGCCAAGTTGAGAACCACTGATTTCATGCAGTGATTTTTAAACTTTAATCCTCATAGGAACCTGAGGTGTTTGATTAAAAGTGGGCGGGACAGGTCTCATCCCTAGATGATCTGGTTGAGAGGATCTGGGGTGATGAGTAGGCATTTGAAGCCCCTAAGTCAGTGGTTCTCAACCTTCCTAATGCCGCAACCCTTTCATATAGTTCCTCATGTAGTGGTGACGCCCTCAACCATAAAATTATTTTCATTGTTACTTCATAACGGCAATTTTGCTACATTTATGAATCAGGTGACCCTGTGAAAGGGTCATTCGACCCCCAAAGGGCTGGCAAACCACAGGTTGAGAACTGCTGATAGAGGTCCTTGTCTTTTGGAGAATCAGTGTGCTAGCATGCAGTGGTAAGTTCCTTATAGTGTGCAACTCTAAGTGTTATCTGAGGAAGATAAAGGTAGAGAAATTGCATCCTGTGTTGTATATTGCTCATTAGAATGTAAAATGGTGCAACCATTTTAGAAATCAGTATGGTAGTTCTTCCAAAGACTAAACAAAGGGTTACCATATGACCCAGTGATTCCACTCTTAGGCATATACTCCAAAGACTTGAAAGTTAGAACTCAAGCAGGTGCGTGTATGCTAATGTTCATTGCAGCCTTATTTCCAATAGCCAAAAAGTGGAAACAGCCCAGGTGCCTGGATCGACAAAAGGTGGAATATGATTCAACTGGGAAGGTAAATGAAGTTCTGATGCATGCCATCACATGGATCATCCTTGAAACTATTATAATGAATAAAACACAAGATAGACATAAAAGGACAGATTGTATCACCCCATTTATAGGAACTATCTAGAGAACAGAGTGTATTAGTGATTGCCAGGGACTCATGAGTAGAGGCAAAGGGGAATTCCTGCTGAAGGGCTACTGAGTTTATGTTGGAAGGAGGAGAAGAAACACTTTTGAAAATAGCGGGGATGGTTACAGAAGCTGATGAATATAATTAATGCCACCAGCTTGTATGCTTGTAAAGGAATGAAATGGCACATTTCCTATTTCCTATTTAGATCTACTATGGGCTCACCATACGCCAATTGTGGTCTGAGGATCAGTTGCATATGGGTGCTGCATGTAAGAAATGCAGAATTCCAGGTCCCACCTCAGACCCATTGTGACAGAGTGCATTTATGGCCTAGACCCTTTCTTCAACCCCCTGAACCTTTTAGAAATAGACAACAGGAGATTGTAAGGAGGGGGACCTTGGGTTCAGAGAGGGTAGGCTCAGTTTGAATAGGCAGGATGCATTAAATTCAGGATTCCCCAGTGAACTGGGGTCAGCCAGCCCAGGCTGTTGAGATAGGTATGTTTGTTTTCCCATCTACATTCCCACCTTGTATGACTTGCTGATTTCACCTGGGAATTGTCAAATCTGAACTCCTTCTTAACACCAAAGGATGAGATAAAGAAACCAAATAGAAAGGAAAAAAAACAAAACATGTTGTTGTTGTTTAATGGGGCTAATCTCTGTCTGCCACAGCTTTCTTCCTTACCAGCCCAGGAATGCAGGGCAGTGTTGGAGGCAAGAGTAGGTAACATGCCTGTGAAGATAACATGCTCAGGTAGAGAAATGGGTCCAAGGTCAATGGATCCCATTTTGCTTGTGTGCTCACCTGTTCCTGGTTTCTCGAGAGCTGGAGCAGCCCTCAGCTCTGTCGAATTCGAGAAAGGGAATGGCACACAAGGAATCTTCCCCCTGGGTTGATCCTGAGATAAAGTGCTCTCCCCACCACCACTCTGGCCATAGGACTTGCTCTCAATTGAGGAGGGGACTGTGGTTGTTAGGGGCCATCGAGCTGGTTCCAGATCCTCGGAACCCAGTGTACACCAGAAGGAAACACTGCCTGGTCCTGCGGCAGCATCACCACTATTGCCTCAAACATAACAATGTAGAGGAGGTAAGATTCCTCTAGACAGGCCTTCTTCATCCTTTTTTGTCACAGCATCTTTCTTCTTAAAAAAAAAAAGCCAAACACCCTTCTATTTGTAGAATCATTGAACCTAAAAGTAAAATAGGACTCCCATGATGCAAACTTGGACAGAATGACCCCACCCAACCCCAAGTCACACATGATTTAGAAAGGGATGGGAAATTTCACTCCATCACTATTGTGTTGCTTCAATGGTAGCTCAGCTTTCCTAAGTCCGCTGATGGTTTCTTAGCCCCTTTAAGGAGAACAAAAGCAGCAATTGTAGCTGGCATTTCTTGATGCTTCCTAAATGCTAGATACAACTCTAAGTGCTTTACATGGCTTATTTGCTTCATCATCACATTAAATTTATGAGCTCAGGCATTGCTGTGATTGTTGTAAGGTGCTGCTGAGTCAGTTGTGACTCATGCCGACCCGAAGTGACAGAATAGAACTGTCCCAGGAGGCTTTCTTTTGCTATACTCTTTATGGGTCAAATCTTTTCCAGGGTTTTCTCCCACAGAGCTCGTGGATGAGTTCAAACATCTAACCTTTTGAGAATGAATACTTAACCATTTACATCAGCAAGGCTAATAGTTCTATGTTAGTATAAAGCTACAGCCAGACAACTAATCAAGAATGCTCAAGTCATTTTCCCTACCCTCACAACTGCTCTGGTGGACTCGGTGATGACCACTGCCCACAGGATTCTGCCATCTCAGGCCCCATTTGCTTCCTCGGCCATCGCAGTCTGTCAGATCCCCATGGCTGAGAGTGAGAAATCTGCTCAGTCAAGCCTGAAGAAAGAAGACAGAAACACAAGAGGAAATTCACTTCCTTCAAAAGAAGCGATGAAGCAAGAGAAGCAAGCCTCACCGGGTGGCACTGCCAACATGCACTCCATAACCCTTGTGTTCTTCTTTTCCTTTGTGTCGCTGTTGACCTCTGTAAGATGCAGAGAGGCTACATCAAGTTTAAATGATGGAGTTACCGCTTTTCCACAGCAAAGAATTTTGAACTCTAGTGAGAATGAAGGGCACCTCTGCTGCTCCCATCAACCTGGCTGGCCAGCTGGCAGGGAAGAAAAATAACTGACATGGTAGTCAAGGATGGAGTTAGATGGAAGTGACAGTGAATAAATATATACAATAAAAGTAAAGCTGGTCCCAGGTATTCTGTAGTCAGTCACAAAATGCAGTTTAATCAGAGTGCCATTTTGTTGTTGTTGTTCAGATGACTTTACTCAATGGAATGCATGGTTTTTAATATCTGCAAATAGAAACATTTTAAACCTGACACAAAACAAAACCCCAAATGGACTGTTCTCTCTTAATGAGGCTTTCCAGTCACTCTGGTCAGCAATCTTGGCAGTCTTGTTCTAAACTGACACTGCG